AAATAAATAAATACCTGGCCACTGAGCTCAACTTGATCAATACATTAATACCGCGGGGTCGTGGAAATTTCGGGGATGGTGTGAATTGGGTGATCTGATCCAGACTACATGGCTTTTCCTTCATATACCAATCAATTTAAAGGGCTTATTTTCCCTTCTCCAATTTCTACAAATCTTTAAATGGAAAAAGGACCCATTAAAATAAAAGGTAAAAAAGGGTGACAAAAAAAAAAAGGATCTACATGTATATAAATAATTTTATGATAAATTTAATAAAAATAAAATTTATGATATTTTATCTATTTAATATCTATAATTAAAATTTCTAATATTTTTTATACCAAAAAGTGTTAATTTTTCTTTCTCTCGTACCAATATACAAAATTGAGTAATTCATGACCCGCTCAATCTTCGTCTAAAATATTAATAATTATTATTAATTATTAATTATTTTTAATAATTAAATCAAATAAAATCAATATTTTTTAATAGAATTTCAGTGGTCTTAACAACTTCAGTGGTGGCCACAAGGCACATAACTACACCCGGCCAATAAATTCAGCTTGATCAATACATTAATCCTACTTTCATCAACCTATAATTTTCATAATTACTATTAAAATGTATGTATTTTCTCGCCACATTTCTTATTTTTACGAAGGCATTAAATATTTTATTTTAATTTTACACTTGTTAAATGCCTTTAATTAATTTTTATTATAAATAAATAAAAATAAAATTTTTAAAGACTAATAATTATATTTTTCAATTACAATTTCTCTTTTATTATACCATATAATGACATAATGCGTGTGGCAAATGAAAATAGTTCGATCCTTACCGAGCATACTCTTTCTTCTTTCAACTTTAACATTCTCCCTACCTACCACCTAGCCCAGTCCTCAAATCCGTCCCAAATAAAATGGTTGAAATAAAAAAAAAAAAAAGAAGCATCGAAACAAATGGCTTTTTTAAATTGTTATTTAAAATAAATTACTCATTATTTAATTAACATGTAATATTATCACACGTTAAAAATCTGTTTATCATCTAAGCATATTTTTAATGAAAAGTTAATATGTGATAATATCACACATAAATAATTATTTATTTATTTTAATTGATGATCTAAAGGGACAATTTCTCCCTAATTTATTTTAAGGGGCAGCCTATCCCTAGATTTGGGGTTTGGCTTATAATTTAAGTAAATTAGTGATAATTTCATTTTATTGAAAGTTAAAAATTTTTAATTCAAATTATATGATATGCAGGTAGATTGAGTTAAGTAATTGATGAGAGTTACCTCTTATTGTATAATTTAAGATAAAAAAAAATCAGATTTAGGTATATTTGGTTTGAAGAAAACAAATGATCAAGGATTATGGATGAATGAATTTTTTGACTAATTATATTATAATATTTATCAAACTAAACATACTATTAATAACAATAATCAAATGTGTTCCTTCCCTTTTATAACAAGGGTCTCCTTTTTACCACGCACAGGCCACAAAAGACTTTTTTTTTTTTTTAACAATACCACACACAAAATATTAAGAACACGCAATTATTTTATTAATTATATTTTTCTCAATTCTACAATTTTTTTATAACGGAAGAAAAGATATTATTCAAAGGGGATTGTTAAATGTGTAATAAATCTCTTCTCTCTTTTCCTTTTTTTTTTTCATTTTTTTTTTATGGGAGGACCGGACCATTTCTCATTCGGCCTGGTCGATGAATCAGTCGTTGGTCATGAGTCATGACATGTCTATGAACCCAGTCTCTGCCGGTCCACATATCATTATCCACCTTGTAATTGGGGTGTATAATCCCATTCTTCGCGACTAAGGTTGCGAAAACTTAAAAGGAAGGTGGGAATGGGATGACTTGATCCTAATTCAACACAACACAACACAAAATTTCCAACTCCTGCGACAACTACTGCTTACAGGACTTTTCCTTTATCTACCATTCAATTTGAAGGGCTTATTCGCTCCTTCTCCCATTACCAAATTTAGCCTGAAATTGAACAGACTAAAATATGTTTATTCTGTTTTAGGCAAATGAGATTTTCAGTACTCTTTCTTTTCTTAATTTCCTCTGCATTTCACATAAATGTCAGTTCCGCCCAAATTGCTGATGATTTCCGTAAAAGTTGTGCTAGCATCGGTAACTTCACCCATAACGATATCTACTATGCCAACCTAAATCGTCTCTTCTCCCAACTCTCCTCCGACCAGGATTTCAATCATGGCTTCTATAGCATGTCCTTTGGCCAGAGCCCTGACCAGGTCAACGCAATTGCACTCTGCAGGGGAGACCAAAACGTTGACGTCTGCAGAAGTTGCCTGAACAACACCATCGATGCGCTTCGACAAACCTGTCCCAACAATAAAGGAGCAATCGGGTGGTCGGAATTCTGTACCCTACGCTACTCAAACCGACAAATTTACGGAGTTATGGAAACCGATCCTTTTGATAAACTATGGAGAGATGATAATTTATCGACGCCATCTGATGCTGATGCTTTCTACCAGGCTTTGAGTCTCTTGTTGAAAAATTTAAGCTCCCGTGCGGCTGCCAGGGGTAATTTCAAGTGTGCACAAGGCATGTCGACGGTTACTCCTGAGAAAATTTTCGCCATTGTGCAGTGTACCCCGGATCTGTCCCAACAAAATTGCAGCGCTTGTCTAGAGAAGGCCATGGCCGATGAAAAGATGAGAACTTACTGCTATAACAAGACCGGATGCAGAATTCTGCAACCCAGCTGTAACTTTAGATATGAGATTAACGACCTTGGAGGTTCTGTAGATGTTAACGTTGAGTCATCTCCATCTGCCCCAAGTCCAGAAGGTAGCTATATTTTACCACTTGCATTGATCAGTTTTAAAGATTGGAGATAGTTTTACAAGCTCCCCTATCTTATATATTAATTAAGTTGGACTACAATTGGAGAAGTTATTACATTTATATGTAGTGCTTGAAGAAATTTATTTCTTTCAATTTTGTTTCTAGCAGCAGTACCTTCTAAAGGAAAAGGAAACAGCACAACTAGAATAATCATCATTTCCACAGTTGCTTCAGTCCTTGGTATTCTGTTGCTTGTGCTTTGGGTATTTTTAAGAAAAAGAAAGGCAGAGGAAACTTTCAAAAGTAAGGAGTAATATGTTTGAAATCCATTCCTTCTGCTGGGGAATTAACGTGATTAGTCTTACCCCTCCCTTGTTTTGCTTTTGGTAGCTATTGAGGAAATGATAAAGTCCGAGTCTTTGCAATATCACTTTGCCACCATCCGGGCAGCAACTAATAACTTCAGTGAACAAAATAAGCTTGGGCAAGGAGGATTTGGAGTAGTTTACAAGGTAATGAAGCTTGTGAAACAGAAGAGAATACTACACAATTAGAGGTTTTTGGAATTTTGTATTTATTAGACTCATTTAATTCATCTGTGTTTTATATACAGGGTCGCCTTCCAAATGGACAAGATGTAGCAGTAAAAAGGCTCTCTAAAAGATCTAAACAAGGAGATAAAGAATTTAAGAACGAAGTTCTCTTAGTAGCCAAGCTGCAACACCGCAATTTGGTCAGACTCATTGGTTTTGGCTTAAAAAGAAAGGAAAGACTTCTCATCTATGAATTTGTACCAAATTCAAGCCTTGATCAATTCATATTTGGTAGGTACCTGTTTCATTTTTCTATGGATTCAGATGTCAATTTTGCTCAAAAGTAATTTCATATGATCGAGTTTGCATACTTCCAAGGAGTTGCACCTCTATGTCCCGGTTGTCTATTAGGCCATGAAAATCTTTAAAATTAATATCCTTGTGACAGGTCCTTGTTTTGTTTTATTTAATCACATATTCTTATGAACTATAAACGTATATATAGATCAAATCAAACGTGAGCAATTGGATTGGGAAAGGCGTTACAAAATCATTCTAGACATTGCTCGTGGCCTTAATTACCTTCATGAGGAATCTCGTGTTCGAATTATTCATCGCGATCTTAAAGCAAGTAACATTTTGTTAGATGAAGATATGAGTGCCAAAATTGCAGATTTTGGCACAGCAAGGTTATTTCAAAGAGATGAAATACAAGCCAACACTAATATAATTGTGGGAACTTAGTAAGTATCAAAAATAGTAAAAATTTGATTTCTTTCTTATACACATAAGTATCCAAGTTGCTTTGTTCCAAATTGACAGCATGGAAGCACCAAGAATGATTTTATTGTGTATTGCATTAAGATAATACTAGAACATGACTTTTGAACCCATAATACTAATTTTTTAATTGAAAATGATCTCATTGACATTGATATGCATGTAGTGGATACATGGCTCCAGAATATGCAATGCGTGGGCAATTCTCAGAAAAATCAGATGTTTTTAGTTTTGGTGTGTTAATGTTGGAAATTGTTAGTGGTGAGAGAAATAATTGGGGTAGAAATGAGGAGGCACTTCTAAACAATGTAAGTATGAAAATGTAACTTATGTTTCTCTCTTGTCATGAATAATAGTTCAAATATTAGCTGGATCTTATTGTAATGCAGGCATGGAAAAATTGGACTAAAGGGACAGCTTCAAATCTCATAGATCCTATTTTGAGGAATGATTCAAGGACTAATCAAATGACTATCTGCATCCACCTTGGATTGCTATGCGTTCAAGCAAATGTTGCTGACAGACCAACCATGGGTTCAGTTGTACACATACTTACTGGTAACTCAACCACTCTTGAAAGGCCCTCACAACCTCCATTTCTATCATCAGACACGTCATCCTCATAGAAATCAAGGGACGAACCGCTCCTCTCCACAACAAATGATTGTTCAATCATAGAGCCATATCCTCGGTAGTTTTTGGGAATCAAAGGTATATTTACTAGTACTAGCATAATATTTATATTGGGATGTTCAAAAGAAAATATTTGTATTGTTTTAGTGAAATGGTGAGGGAGTAGAAATAAAAAGGAATTAAAGCAGCTCAATGAAAGCACAGAAAAGTGTAAAAATGCAATTGATTGTGAGTTTCTACTTTAATATACGTATAGGACCTTGTTTAATTGTAGCTCTATGGCATTCAGTTCACTGTAAGCCATATTTCTTTTAATAAACCTTTGCAAGCCATATCAAAAAGCAATCCTACTGAAGAAGATACGTTGGCTTCTAAACCAACTTAATAAATTCTCTCTAATACCAATTTGAAATTAGACTAATTCCATGTATGCTTTAGCTTTTAAACATCTAGGAGGTACACAAGGACAAAAAGACACCTACCATATGCAGCCCCCTCTGCTGAAAGGCCCTAACCGTGTAGTGTACTTCCTCACTTTCTGTTAGAAAAATAGGAGAGAAAAAGATTATAGAAACTAAAGAAATTCTGATATGTGAACGAAATCACTTTTCTTAAGACTTTAAAAACTTCTAGGATATAACAAAATAATCAAAATTTTTTCAAAGTGTAGAAGTGAAGGAATAGGAGAAAATATATGAGAATTACTTGCAAAGAAATTCTGAACTTTGGCCTATATATAGAAGCCAAAAAGATGTCTTAGGTGCTTATTCCAATTAGATAAGTTCACTTGATCACATCTTTTCACTTAAAGTTTGCTTTGAATGGACTTATGCTTTGAGTTTCAGCGTATTTGATCAAGTTTGATCATATCCGAATGGACAATTCCATTCAAATGCATCATTCAATCCAAACGCAACAATTTTATGTTCGTTGGGCATTTACGAATGCATCCAGTTTCATGTTTGAAACATTTCAAATATCCCAATTTATGGTTTTCATCAGTTGTCGATCACCCAATTCATGTTCTGGCATTTACGAATGCACCCGATGGCTCTTACCTCATCTTCAAGTCAGTTGTCGATCAGCTCAACTCCCATCACTTGCAAATCAATTAAAGTTTAAGGTTTTGATGCATGACTAATATATATAAACAGTATCTGGTATAAATAGTATTTGTATCTGGTATAAACAGATTTATTCTGACTCTGTTGATTAAAGCAATAAGTAGATTGTGATCCATGATTATGTGAAACTTCCATTGCTGACTGCTCAGGGTATGAAGGGGATGCAAGAGATTGGATATTTCATTGTCGTTCATCTTGTAGCACTAGAGACAATGCTTTTGTGATTGTTGGCAATAGTGTCATTAACAAAATCTAACTCCTTAAATTGGCATAGGAATCATTGAGCCCCATTAAGAATTGCATCAGATGATCTTGCTCTTCTAGCATGGTGATTTCAACAGCTACTCCACAAGAGCAAGTAGGAAATGATTTATAAATGGCAAGTCCATCCCATAATGCTTTCAAACTTGTATGATAAGTTGTCACAGAATCATTCTACTGTAGATGATTCACAATTGATCTTTGAATCTTAAAAATCTAAGGAGCATTACGCTGGGAGAAACGGTCTTGTAGATCTATCCACACTGCAGGAGCATTTTCATGAACACAACACTGTTTGCAATTTCCTTCGAAATGCCAACGGCATTAAGAAGCCAGGATAGAATCATACTGTTGCATCGACTCCAGATTACATGATTTGGAGAAGTTGTTGCTGGTTGTGGGATGCGGCCATCTATGAAACCAAGCTTATTTTTGGCTTCAAAAGCCATGGTTATGGCCCTGCTCCATGTGGGATAATTATCACCTTGTAAAACTTGAGAAACAAGAACAGTTCTAGGACTGTTTGAATGGTATAAATAAAATGGTGATGAGGAATATAATTCAATATTAGCTGGTGTAGAGAGGGCTGTGGATTCTATAGACATAGTGAGACAAAAGAAGAAATGAAGCCGTAGGAAGAATTCTTGCTCTAATACCATGTAAATTGCTAAATGTTTCTTATTGATTCATAATGTATGTCACTGTACATATATATACAAAAGAACCATATCAGAATCATAACTTAGCTAACCTTGTGCCTAGAGTCTAGGAGAGTTATAACCATATACAAATATGCTCTTGATTCTGAGGGATTTAGCTATGCAAATCTGTTTATACTAGATACAAATACTGTTTATACTAGATATTGTTTATACTAGATACTGTTTATACCAGATACAAATTACGGTGTCACAAGAAGCCTAGAAATCCTAATTATCAAGCAACATCAGTAAAGCGTGATTTTAGAGATTCTGGTTTTCGTTTTCAGTGAAACTCCACTAAACAATATACAGCTTCTTCTAGACGAGCTTGATATTTTCTTACTGTGGTGGATGATTTTTCTCGGAATACTTGGGTATTTTTAATGCAGCATAAATCCCAAGCATGTCTTCTTATTTAGAATTTCTTTTCTATGGTCCAAACACAATTTCAAACCACCATTCAAAGGGTTCATAGTGATAATGGTTTAGAAATTTTTAGCCAACAAATAATTATTTTTTTAATTCAAAAGGGGTTATCCAGGAACATAGTTGTGTGGCCACACCCCAACAAAATGGGGTTGTTGAAAGCAAACATCGTCATTTGTTGAACATGGCTCGTGCAATTCGATTTCACTCCAATCTTCCTCTCAAATTCTGGGGTGAATGTGTTTTGACCACTGCTTATCTTATAAATAGAACACCTTCTAAACTCCTTCATGGAAAAACTCCATTTGAGTTGCTTTTTTAAAAGAGACCCACATATTCCCATTTACGAGTGTTTGGTTGTTTATGTTTTGGAAGAAATATCCATATCACTCATAAATTTGATTCCCGAGCTCTTCCTAGCATCTTTGTTGGTTATCTTTTTGGACAAAAAGGATACAAGATTCTTGACATTAAATCCCAAAAATTATATGTGAGTCATGATGTTAAGTTTCATGAAGACATTTTTCCTTTTCAATTTGTTTCCTTTGAGGCCAAGTCTTTGCCACTCTCACTGCCAATTCCAGATTCTATACCAATTGATACTACTATTTTAACAACCTCTCCAGATACCTTAACTCCAGCCCTTGCCACAAATGATTCATCTCCACTCGTCCCTCCCGCAGATATCTCTCCTACATTACCTTATCTTGAGCCACAAGATTTTGCAAATATCTTCAAACCAACACCTGTTGTCTTCCCAGATTTACGACTTTCTTCACATCATAAACAAGTTCCCACAAGGTATAAGGACTATCATTGCTTTAATGTACATGATCAATTAGCTTCTTCATCCTCAGGTACTCCCTGTCCTATTTCTAATTATCTGTCCTATGCTTGTTTTTCTCCTACTCATTGTACCTTCCTTAATACCATTGCTTGTGACATAGAACCTCCCTCCTTTACCCAAGCTATTCAATGTCCTGAGTGGAGAACAGCTATGTAGACAGAACTTCGAGCCTTGGAAGACACACATACATGGTCACTGGTTCCTTTACCACCTGATAAGAAGCCTATTGGTTGTAAATGGGTCTATAAGATCAAACGCAAATCTGATGGCAACATAGAGAGATTCAAAGCCCGCCTTGTAGCAAAGGGATACACTCAAGTAGAGGGAATTGATTATCATGATACTTTTGCCTCTGTTGCCAAGATTGTCACTGTTCACTTTCTTTTGGCTATTGCTGCTATTAAACAATGGCCTTTGCATCAAATGGATGTTCAGAATGCTTTCTTACATGGTGATTTACATGAAGAGGTATACATGAGACTTTCGCAAGGTCATCCTTGACAAGGGGAGCAAAATCTCGTTTGTAAGCTTAATCGCTCTCTTCATGGCTTGAAACAAGCCTCTCGTAACTGGTTTTCCAAGTTTTCTAGTGCCTTGCTTGCCATTGGTTTTCAACAATCTCCAGCAGATTACTCTTTGTTTCGACTGGACCGAGGCTCCTCCACCATCTTCATTTTATTATATGTTGATGACATGATTCTTACAGGCAACAATCCTGATCTCCTTGCTCGTGTGAAGGACTTTTTATTCAGTCAATTCAAGATTAAGGATTTGGGTTCACTTAAGCATTTCGTGGGTATTGAAGTAGTTCACTCCTGACGGGGAATTTATCTAAGTCAGTGCAAATACACTCTTGATCTTCTTGATGATTCTGGTCTTCTTGGCTCTAAAACTGCTGACACGCTAATGGACAAAAATCTTAAGCTTATTGAAAGTGATGGTTAGTTGTTGGATAATCCTTCCCAATACTGTCATTTGGTGGGTCGTCTTCTTTACCTCACCATTACCAGGCCCGATATATGCTTTCCAATAAACATTCTAAGTCAATTTCTACAATCACTAAGAAAACCTCATTTAGATGCAGCATTCCGCCTTCTTCGGTATCTAAAGAAAAGTCTAGGCCAAGGGATTCTTCTTTCTTCTGCCAGTTCACTTGATTTACATGCATATTTGGATTCGGATTGGGCTAGTTGTGTGTCTACTCGGAGATCCACTACTGGCTACTTAATATTTCTCGGTGATAGTCCAATTTCAAGGAAGAGTAAGAAAAAAAATACCATTGCACTTTCTTCTGCTGAAGTTGAGTATCAAGCCATGGCTTCTACCACTAAAGAGGTCATTTGGCTTCGCAACTTATTACACAGTTTTGGTATTTGCCAATCTCACTCCACACCGCTTTACTGTGATAATCAAGCAGCTCAGCACATTGTTGCCAACCCTGTCTTTCATGAAAGGACAAAATATTTAGAAATTGATTGTCATTTGGTGCGTGAGAAATTTCAAGCTGCTATTGTCTGCCCCTTACCAATCTCTTCCTCTCATCAACCAGCTGACATTTTTACAAAGGCATTGAGCAAGGACAGTTTTTATTTGATGTGGGACAAGCTAGGCATTCATGACCTTCATGCACCAGCTTGAGGGGGAGTATAAACAGTATCTGGTATAAACAATATTTGTATCTAGAATAAACAGATTTGCATAGCTAAATCCCTCAGAATTAGGAGCATATTTGTATACAGTTATAACTCTCCTAGACTCTAGGCACAAGGTTAGCTAAGTTATGA